GGATGCAAGTACAAGGATTTTCTGACTTGCAAGCCATCGACTTTCACTGGAAAGGAAGATCCAATCGGATTCATGGATTGGATCTCAGAAATGGAGTTAGCCTTTATGACGTGCGGTTGTAGAGGCAAGCTGCAAACCACCTTTGCAGTGCGTCAGTTCCGAGGAGGCGCTGTACGTTGGTGGAATACCTTGGGGAAGACTCTGAGCCCCAATAAGCCCCTGCAACTGACATGGGCAGAGTTTTTGGTGCAGTTCAAACGTAAGTACTGCTCAGCCCAAAATCTGCTCGAGCTAGAAAACCAATTCCTTACCTTGAAGAAAGGAAGCATGTCTATTGATGAATACACCAACAACTTCACAGAGAAGATGGAGTTCGCCTTGCGTCTTATTCCGGATGAGCTGACGAAAATCGACAAGTACGCAAAAGGACTTCCATGGGAGTACGTGGTGCCAGTGCGTCAGGCACCTACTCTGGAAGCAGCTATCTGGGCTGCCAAATCTGTGGAGGATCTGATTAAGGGAAGAGCTTCCAGCAAGGTTGAGGTTGGCGAAAAGAGGAAATTCGAAGGATCGGCAAGGCCCGATGAGAAGAGAAATTCTAATACAAGGAAGTTTAGAGGAGGAGGAAGCGAAGAAAGATGGTGCGAAAAGTGAAAAAAGAAACACACTGGAAAATACGGTGAGGAGGTGACTTGTTTCAAGTGTGGGAAGCATGGGCATTATGCCAACGAGTGTACATTCAACAAAAGGGTGTGTTACGGATGTAACGAGGAAGGGCACTTCAAGCATGACTTCCCAAAGAGAGAGGGGGCTACAAAGCCAAATGTGCCGCCAAATCCAAAGGCGAGAGCATTTCAAATGATCCTTGACGAAGCAGATGACAACACAAGGATTCAGGAGTGAAGGCTTGACATCCAAAGATCGAGTTATGAAGTAGTCGTGTAGATAGTACCACGTGGTGTAGCCTATTAGAGGCATAATATAGGTTGAACCTGAACACCTATGTAATCGCTTCAAGGAATAATATAAAACCTTCGTTTTGTTATCTGATGTGTTAAACTGTTATGTGATTTTCTTGTATGGTGACTTGGAAAACTGCGAGACAATACTTGGGACGAGTATGAGTAGGTATGAAAGGTAGTAGATTCATATACCACCGGAAGCACAGGACTCACGCTTGGATTAGGGAAAGTCACAAGGTTACCAAGAAGCTAGTAATTGATTCCGTTTTATTCAAGCATGTCGTTACCATTGATTCGGTAATGACTAAGAAGATTGTTGTTATTCCGACCCTGGTGGTTATATCGAATTGAGTCCGACTACGGTGAGTATGATACGTGGTTCAGAGAACCAAGTCCGATGTAGCATCTGACTTAAGCTAGAAGCTTGAAGTGAAAGACAATCAAATCGATCAGTAGAGGTATCACGATAGTTGCTTGTGGCTAGGAATGCTACCTTTTAAGATGTGATTATATCCCATTAGAACATGAAGGAAGATATAGTCTGTTCTGGAATTTGACTCTAAAAGACCTGAGTCTAAGCATTGCAACATACGATGAAAGGTCATTAGAACATGACCTATCGGTCTATTATGATAATCGAAGGAAGAAACTTATCTCAAGTTTGTTAAATAAGGAGTCTCCAATAATGATCGAGATCATGACATGAAGATCATGATTGGAAGTCTAACATGAGATAGAGAGCGGATGCAAGATCGAGCACCGCCTGTAGTCAAGGAGTCTAAGAGTTAGATACTCGTTCGAAGAAACATCAAAGTTATGACTTAGGATGAAGAGATAACGTATGGAGTCATCATGTGAGCCCTGTTTCGTTGATGATTCCGGGACGTAATCATCCTAAGGGGGAGATAATTGTAACGCCCGTAGATCCGGGCTAGTCAATTTAGAGATAATAGGGGTCGAAAACGACTTTTCGACAAAAGATTATTTAGAATAAAAAATCTTAGCCAAGTTGTAGAATATGTCTCAAGGTTTCCGTACATATAAAGAACGCCGAAATCCGAGTTATAACGAAGAAGTTATGGCCCGTCGAAGTTTTACAGCAAAACCGGCACGACACCGGGAGACGTAAATAGTGAATTTACGATAGATGACTTTTTAGCCTTAGTGATCTAAACAAAAGTTGTAGTATACGTTAAACCGAGAACATACAAAAAAAGAACGCCCAAATCTGATTTCGTATGAGGAAGTTATGAATTTTCTAAGATTTGGCATAGTAGTGCACAGCCCGAAACTCGAATTTTATTTCGAGCGGTTTTTGGCTTACGCGACCTAATTGAGAGTTGAAGATCCCATTAATAGGAACTCAACGGTAAAAAGATAGACGAAAACGGAGTCTGTATTAAGGAGTTATGAATTCTTCGCGGTCATTTAACAGTCTAATCTCCTCCTACTGTTAAATTTAAGATCGGTCGAGAACTAGCCGACGGAGTCTAAATGAAAGTTGTAGATCTTGTTTTTACCTACGCGTGGAAAAAAAGAACGTCGAAAACGGAGCTCTTATGGGAAAGTTATGGGGTTTAGAAGTCGGCAGGGTGCTGCAAAAGGGGTGACGTGACTGAATATGGGCCAAGGCTTTCTCCCCAAGAAAAGCCATCAGGTGATGACACGTGGCACCGACTCGGCGAGTCCATCAGGAATTCAGCCTATAAATAGAGGTGTCGGGCATTGCCATTTCTCCACACCTCTCAAGCCTTCTTTCTCTCTCTAGAACCCTCTCTAGCTCCCTTAAGCCCCCTAAAGTCTAGGTAAACCCCCTAGCACCCGAAGGAAGCCCCGAGGCTCCCGGAGTCCCGAGAAAAAGGGTCTTTCGGCTCGGAAATGCTGCTCCAGCGAAGCCCGGTTTTGCGAAAAACCCGCTGCTTTGTCGAGGGAAATTGTTTTAAGAGTAACGAAGTGTTGTCCAAGTACCGAGTCACCACTGTATCAGGTAAGTGCATAGTTACTTTCATCTTACACATAGATATGAAGTATTTAATATAAATTACGTGCTATGTGTGAATATTATCTGTATACTTGCTATCTATGCTGGATGAACAATTTTATACATGTTTTAAATGATTTAAACTATATATGTATTTTATATCTACAAAATGTGTTGGGTAAAACATGGGTAGATGAAATAGTTGCTGTGTGACAAAAATAAAATGATGAGAAGTGATATAGACCATGAGATAAGGGTGAGAGGTAAACCATGAGAGAAGCCTTTTACCCATGTGTTGGCCCCGTCATTCAGCAGAGTATGGATGACAACCACAGACTATTCTAGACAGTCCAATGGACACTAGCAGGCTCGCAACCTGTAGGTGTTTTGACCTGTGTATTCACCAGATGTACTCTAAAAACCCATTGACATGTATTGCGAGTGGATTCTCAGAAACGATACTGTCAATAAACGAGATAACTCTGGCAAATGCGCCTAAAGGACTCTACCGGCAGAAGCGCCTAATAGAGAACATCATAACCCCGACAGAAGCGCCTAAAGGACTATACCGGCAGATGCGCCCCATAAAGAATGTCACAATTCTGGCAGATGTGCCTAAGTGATAATATTAGCAGTTGCGCTTGACCACTATGTCATTGGCAACAATGGACTTCATGTTGTTTCCTTAGGATGATCCTTAGGAATGAATGAACAAGGATTAGTTGATCCTTAGGGTAAATCCTTAAGAAGATAATGTGAATGGGTAATTGGGTTGATTGTTTGATGTTTAAATATAATAATTATATTATTGTGGGTTGAAAACCCTATGTACTCATCGGGTTTCCCAACCTGACCCACTCCATCTTATTTGTATCACAGGTGTCGATACGAAGCTACTTTACACTGAGAGATTTAAAAGAGATGTAGATCACTAGTGTAAATAAATGTAAGTTCTGTTTATGCTTATGTTCCTGTATTGACGATGACATCCCAATGTTTTAAAATGAATAAAAAAAATACATTTCTTCGGAAATGCTTTGATAACGTGATTATCATGTTTTTCTGGGGACAAATTCTGCAACACTTTTATTAAAAGAGGTACTCTGATTTTTATAAAGCATAAACAAAATTGGTCTTTTCTGGCCGTGAAAATGGGGATGTCACACACATTCCACATATCCATGCCCATAGTCAGCTACTTGAAAATGGTTCAATCAACCACCAAAAGTTTAAAACCAACTTCACAAGTCATAAATACTAAATTACAAATGTTTCTCCTTTTTTGACATTTCATAACAGGTTTGGTCTGTATATTGTAAAATCTAACTAATCAATTATTAGATTTTCATAGATAATTTTGCCATTAGACCAAACTTGAATAAAACAACATACCACAAGGACCAATTTTATTAACTTATTGTAATTTATTGGTATGTAAGTTACTAATTACATGTCTTAAAGGTTCCTTGTTATAAAATATAAATGGTGGATGCAATGACGATTTTTTGCTTTATTCTTTCCCTCACAAATGTAGGATGTTTGATATATGGTGTCAATATCATGTTTATAGTTAATTCAAGCTATTGAGTTGAGGTACCTGTGTGATTCTATTGATTTCTAAAAATCGTAAGCGGTTGGTGACAAGTAATCTAATCCATAATCAACATTTCTTAGTAACTGAAAAGACCTGAAAATAGTAGTTTGTTAGAAGAGCAACGTAGGATAACAACTGAAATTTAATAAATATATAAAAAAAAGAAAAAAAAAGCAGAAGTAGGGAACATTAGTGTTTAAAAATTGAAAGTAAACATGGAGAGAACAAGTGTTTGAGCTTTGACAGCGTGGATGAATGAATTGGTGTATGAGCAACTCCAATTTCCATACAAGTGTCTCCAAAAAAACACTTCAGCTAGGCCCTGTAACATCAACCAAAAAGAGAGTTTTTATATATATTATAGATGTACAAAGTGTTTTTACATTCCAGTTTTGGCTTGTAAGTATTTCATCAATATTCATCTTATTATTGCCTAAGCTCTAATGATGGCACTTCCCTTGTCTTACTCAACCTTTTCCACCACAAACTTAGCCCTCTCAGCCTCTTGTGCAACCACTTGCTTTGCTTTAATTGCACCAGTAAACTCCCTCCCAAAAGTAATACTTGTTATTGACATGTCATCAAGTGCAATGTTGAAATTGGCAGTTAGTATTTTCATTATTTCCCTACTAACAGCCTATAACACAACATTTATTTGTATTTTATGTTATGCAGAGGATTAAAAATAAGTTGGAAATAATATTTAAATTTAATACCTCTCTCTGAGTAATGAGCTGGCTAGCATTATACTGAGCTACCACAACTTTCCAAGTTTCATGAATGATTAAAGGGAGAACTCTCTCATTGGAGTTCTCAGTAAGAGTTCGATACACAACAGTTAGTTCATCGGCAACCGGTTTGGTAAGAACTCTAAGGCCTATTTTCAACTTACAAAATCCAACATTTGTCATCCAGAAATAGCAACCTACTTTCATTTATGTTGCTATTTTTTCAAATACTTTTTAAAGATCATTTATTGTGAAAAATAAAAAACTACGAATTAGAGAGATATACCATTTGAAGATCATGGCTACCAGAAGTTCTGTCACAAATGGGTGATTTAAAGAAGCCTATTAACCCGCTATAAAAGGTCATAGTTCTTGATTTGAAGAAAAAATATCGTAAAAAATTGGTGGTTTTACTGGAATAAATCAATTCACAGAGTTAAATAACTGGACCAAATATAATGGCTTTTTTTTGTAATTGGCCCAATATATAATATCAAAAATGTTGAAGAGGAAAAGAACAAAGATAAAATATGGCATCATTCATCTTAATTCCAAGAATTCACTATTACTTAAATGATTAAAATATTGACATTCGTAGATGTTATGGTCAAATCAGAAAAGATGTAAACATAGAAAACTTGAAATCAACAATTAGCAATGATAGTGCAAGGCTTACAAGGTGGTGATTAGTGGCTAAAAGATATACATACAAGAACCAAAAAAAATTTGTTAAGAAGATAAAAGCATAAATAAGCAAACTAAGAGAATTATGTAAGAAAAAAAATCTTGCCTTTAACACCAACAATATAGCTAAAGACAATTGCACAATGCCCTCCCTCAACATTGTAAAAACTGTTGCCAGCTGCATACAATCCAATACAAATAACAACTCCAAAATTTAGCAATGCAGAAGCTGCACTTCCATCAGACATCCTGGGTACCTACATATTATTAAGATTCATCTTTCTTGCCATTCAAGTCCCAGATAATACAACATATCAGTCCAAATTCAAATAATGTTAGTTGAGGTTTAACATGTGCACGATTTTCTTACCAGTAGTGACACGTTTCTTCTGGCCACCAGAGATTCCTCTTCGCTTCTCATTACCTACCATGATATCATCACATATATCTAATCCAAATACCTGTTCAAATGGCCAACAATTTTTAATCATTTGAAGAAGATAAAGAACAAAAAATCTGAGACTGTGAGCTAGATATATAAACCTTGAGAACATAGTCTGTAACCATTCACCTACATACTAGCATGCAACTCTATCACAAAACAAGTGTGGGTATCTTGAGGAATCACTTTCCTTGGCTACGGCTGATTGTACACATCGCATCCTTCCTGTCGGTTCTCTTATGGTTAAATTGTAACATCCCAATTTTCAAGACCAAAAATTTCGTTTTTGACTAAGTAATTTAATAAAAACCATTTCTGAAAAACAACATCAATATCATATCAAACTAATAACCCATAGGTCAAATGTCATAAAAAACATATCCTTGAGTAATAATAATGTCAAAGTACAAATCCAAGGTCATCATAGTGCGGAAATCATGTGTGTGCGATGCGTTGCTACCGTGCCAGCTCTTTCCCCTTCACTGAAGAGGTACCTGAAAACAAAACTGTAAACTATAAGCACGAAGCGTAGTGAGTTCCCCCATCATACCACATACCATACTATAATCAATAAACATACTGTCAGGCATATCTGGGTGCCCGACCTACCCTATTAGGCATACCGGGGTGCCTAACCTACCCCTATCAGACATACCGGGGTGTCCGACCTACCCCTCCAGTTTATCTCAACCGGTTACGGGGACTATTTCACCCCTACTACTATCACACAATAACATAACATAATCATACTGTTCAGCATAACCGGGTACCATACTACCCCTTCGGCCCTATCGACCGGTAACCGGGGACGATCCCCCTTACTACCGCTATCACATAACATCATATTATACTAGCATGCAAAACTCATCAGATAGCGGTAAACCCAAGTAATTATCACAAAGACAACTACTCGACAAACACTCCCTACTAGTGGGCCGACATTGTGGCCGTAGGCCCACCTCTATTGGAAGGTAACTCACCTCAATGTTGCGTAGTGTCTGCACTAGTCTCGATATGGAAACCAACTCTCCTCGACTCCTCAATCCCTACACGACAACCCTTCAGAGTTATCAACTCGTACTCATGCTCGTTACCCTTACAAGGGTCATTCAATCCCAGTCCACGTCCAAGCCAAATCCATGGTCAAAGTCCACTTTTTGGTCAAATCAACATCTGGTTAGCTCGACTCGCCAAGTTGGCCCGCCAACTCGTCGAGTCCCCACATCCACCAAAATGTCATAAACCCGTCTCTACCCATCGAGTCTAGCAAGAGCTCAATGAGTTCGCCTTCATCAACACATCGGACAATCTTCAACCGACTTGCCGAGTTCGCTCTTGAACTCGCCGAGTTCATCTTCATCCATAAGGAGATGTTCAGTCTATGACTCGCCGAGTTCTTCTTGAACTCGCCGAGTCCATCTTCATAAGTTGGGAGATTGCCTTGGACTCGCCGAGTCTGTTCATACGCTCGTCGAGTCCCATGATTTCCAGGTCCAAGACAAACCCCTAGCAGGCTGAGTGTTCCTTCCACTCAACCAAAACCATTTCCAGAAGACGTTTTGGGGGGAAAAGCATCCCGATTCGCCGAGTCCCTCTTTGTCCAATACCATACAGTCGATTTCAGTGGGACTTAATGCATCCCAATCATAGATCTGACCTCCTAGGGTCCCTTTTTTTACGTAAAGCTACGAACTTGATATCCATGCATGGGGTTTTTGGCTCAAAAGGCTATAAAATGGGGTTTATATGATGCATGGGTCTCCCATGGCCATAAAGTTGGCACCTTTATACCATGGGAACCGTCAATGGTTCCAGATCTGAAGCACAAACCCACATATGCAAGCAAATCTGAGCATAGCCTCTCAAAAGCTTAGAAAAGGTAGAAAAATAGCCCCAAAACAAGATCTAGGAAAATAGATGGTCAAGGTTCAAGCTTTTTACCTTGAATGGACTGGGAATGAAGCAAAACCTCTGGATCTACTAGCTTCCTCTTGATCTCCTAAGCTCTCTTCTTCTCTTTCAACTTCAAACACACACAAAAGGTACAAAAGAGCTCAAAATCACTCAAAAATGGTTTAGGGTTTCAATCTAGGGTTTCTCTGAGTTGGGAGGGTGATGGAGGCTGGTGTGGGACGAGATAAAGTGTTTAAATAGGGTGCAAACCCTAAATATTAGGGTTTTGTCCAGACAGCTCCTACTCGTAGAGTCGGTCTTCCGACTCGTCGAGTAGGTCACTTAAACCCCCGATCATCATTCGAGTCTACTCGATGAGTCGGACCTTCAACTCGTCGAGTCCCAGAGTAAATTGTAATGTTTTCTTTAATTTAAATGCGTACCAGGAATCCGGTGCTACATAAATTTTGAAAAACGTTTTGCAGATCCTTAGCTTAAGTCTGGAATAATACAAGTGTTCATCCAATTTTATCAAACCTGGGCTTTGATACCAACTTGTAACATCTCAAAAATCATGACAAAATTTTCTTTTGTAAAACCATTTCAAAATCCATAATTCACACAAAACATAGTTTCCAAAACCATAAGTATAAATCAAAGTATCCCAAAATCATAAGTCAAATAAATATCCAAGATAATGTGCATAATCATACCTTCGCCTTGCCCTTGACCTCTGATGTACCTAAAACCATAAAATCAAACTATAAGCCAAAGCTTAGTGAGTTCCCCCAAAAGGATCACACACAACAACATAATACAATACACGCAACCAGGCCTGCAACACTAGGTTGGACTGCCACCGAGCCTTCAACTACTGGCTAGACCACTCTCGAGCCTACAGCATAAGCTAGACCGCTCCCTTACGCCTACAGTATCAACTGGACCGCCTCAACCCCTCAACACAATAACATATCGACCTATACAACTATAACCAATAGCCAGCAAGGATAGGTAATCATACAGATCTACCAATCCAACATATCACCAGCGAATACATACTAGCATGCAATTCTATCACATAACAAGTTTGGGTATCTTGGGGAATCACTTTCCTTGGCTACGGCTGATTGTATACATCACATCCTTCCTCTCGGTTCTCTTATGGTTAAATTTTGAAAAACATTTACCTTCGCCTTGCCCCTGTCCTCTGATGTACCTGAAACCATAAAATCAAACTATAAGCCAAAGCTTAATGAGTTCCCCAAAAAGTACCACACACTACAACATATTACAATGCACGCAACTAGTAGCACTAGGTTGGACTGCCATCGAGCCTTCAACTACTAGCTGGATCGCTCTCGAGCCTACACCATAAGCTGGATTGATCCGTTGGGCCTACAGTATCCATTGGACCGCCCATGTATCTTGGCCTTCTGCACAAAGCAGGACCGCCTCAACCCCATAACACAATAACATGTCGACATATACAACTATAACCAATAGCCAACAAGTACAGGTAATCGTACAGATCTATCAGTCCAACATATCACCAGCGAATACAAGTAATCATATAGATCTACCAGTCTAACATATAACCAGCATAGCATCATCCTATTTACCAGGATACATAACCTAGTGGGTCGGTATTGGTGCCTTCAACCCACGAGTAAAGTGATAAAAACTCACCTCACAGTCTGAAAGATAGTTGAACTGATCGCTGCTCCAACACTATCTCTACAAGTCACCTCTATAATCAACAAGGACCCAGTCTAAATTTACAAATTCAGTTATCCCAAAAAACCTAAGGTCAAACTTGGTCAAAGTCAACGGTTAACGGTCAAAATTCAAAGGTCAACATCAGACCGAGTACGTCGTGCGTACTCCATCTCTACGCATGGGCGTATAGCCTTATTCCAGAATACGGGGCTTAACCAGGTTAGCATTGTGTAACCATAAGTATGCCCTGCGTACTCATGCTGAATCCAAATTCTCCATTAAGTGCTTAATACAGAAAGGCATTGTGTCCAACTTTCAGATCTGTTCTATGTAAATGTCTTAAGTGATAAAGTTCCAAACTTTATGCACTTGCATGGGTTATCAAGGCTCAAGAACAAACCCTAATCTCATATCAACTTCTACTGATCTCAAACTCATGCATGGATGGCTAGAAATGGCCAAGATCCCATTTTTATGACTTAATAACCTCCAATACACCTGGAAATGCACCTTAAAAGATCTAGAACATATCACACTCAAATGGACCAATTTGTGGAACAAAAAGGACATAACTTTAACATCTAAACTAGATCTAACAATGGAGGCATAAAGGTACAAACTTTATACCTTCGGGTGATGAATATGGATGAAGAACTTCCAGATCCAAGGTTGATTGAAGCTTCCAAGCACCACCACCACCTTCTTCTTTCTTCAAAAGCACCCAAAAACACTCTTTTTAAGCTCATAATACTTAAAATGGGGTTAGGGTTTCAAGGGAGTCGTTTGGAGAGATGGAGGTTGAGGATGGAAGAGGTTTGGACTATGACCACGTACGCCCTGCGCACTTAAGATCTACGCCCTGTGTAGATTATTAAGGCCTCGTCAACACTTTTCCTTCTACGCAACGCGTAGAGGCTATCTACGACCAGCATAGATATACTTCAAACACTTAATACTTAAAACAAAAAGGGAAGGAATTTACCTGAAGAATCGGGTGTTACAATTGTGGTTCGAGTTCATAAATTGATATATGCTAGTTAGTCAGATCATGATAATTAGTGACTTTTAGTTTGGTATCCAACATGATACTAATACATTGTTTGAAATTAACCATAGGGAAAATGGGAATTCAAAACTAAACAAAAGTATCTTTTAATTCTTGATCAAATCTCGTTTTCTAGTTGTTTGCTTTAGCTTGAAGTGTTTCTATTAGATTGTTTAAATTAAGTTTTCTGAACTTGAAAAATCAGATAAAAACTCCATTTAAAGTTTGTTTCTTTTGGTTTAATTATTAGAATTATTTTCTTATTTAGAACTCCGTTCCATGTGTTCGACTCTTACTTACTACTATATGGCTAGATGAGTTGAATAGTTAGATATAAATTTTAAAGCTTTTAAGTGATAATATAAAACACATCAAATTTTTATTCTAAATTAAAAATGAAAAAATTATTCTGAAAATTGGGACGTTGCAGGAGCTTATTTGTCTCTATCGGAGACTTAAATGTTTTAAGGA